CTTCAGCAGCAAGTAGAAAACAGGTAGCACAGGTCCCTAGCCATCCAGAAATAAAGGAGGAGGAGAGGTCAGCCACAGAAATGTGGTCTGCCACAAATTACAGCCCTAGCCATAGCTGGGCAATCTAGAGGGCAAATGGGAGGAGAACTCTAAGGGGCTACTCAGCAAAGGAGTAACAGGAGGGATTGGGACATACAAAATAAAAAACACTTCCCAAGAACGAGAGATTGGGCATTAGCACAATAGCATGCCCACCACCACTGATTAGAAGCTCCTCTAGAAGGACAGCTTATAAGAAAACATGACATTTTCTTTGGAGAACCCTCTTTTTAAAATTAGTATCTTTAAATCAAAATTTAAAAAATCCCTACCTGGCCATTTTCCCAAGTGCTTTATATAAGCTCTGTTATGGTAGAAAGAAAAAAAAAAAACAAAAACAAACAAACAAACAAAAAAAACTTATTTTTATTTGCTCAGAGTTTGGGAGAGGATGCTGAGGCTTTAGTTTTACCAATTCATTTTGTCACTAGGATAGGAGGGAAGAGGAGAAAACAGGTGTAACAAAATACCTGAGTGGTTTGGGAAGCAACATGTTTGTAAGTGCACAAATACACTACAAAACCATCACTGACAAATGCACATAGGTGGGTAATTTTCACCCCAAATTAGTGTCTTCTCCAGTGCTGAAAAATCAGACTAACCCTCAGGTCCCTCAGGAACTGGTTCTAGAAGAGCAGACCAGTAAATCCTGCCATTTTTGGCAGGTTGTAATAGTAGTAGTGATGGATATCACAGATGCCTGGCCAAGCCCGTGGTCCAGACCGCAGCACCCCAGTACTACTTCAACAACTTCAACTTTTGCCATCAGAGAGTGGCTCCTCTCCCTTGGGCTCTTGTTAAAGTTTCAGTGCCAGAAAACCCTGTTTGGTGATCACAAGTCTGGCAGTAGGAATCCTCTGTCCCTCATTCCCAACCTGTCAAGGGGTCTGATCAGAAGTTCAGTGTTGAGGGTGTTGGTGTAGCACCTCCTCCCCTGGGAACCTTCTGGAGCTATCCACCAGTAAACAGATAGAGGGAAAAGAGAATCAGTGTCGGCACCCATCAAACCTGAGTCTGGAATAGTTCTGTCCAAATTTCCAGGAACTCAAACAAAGAATGTATCTATACTTCCCTTTGGCAAGCAGACTCCTCCCAAGGGAAATCATGGGCCAGTTGCACTCTTCTAGCCTTGAGGACAAAGCCACCCATCCTTCCAGAGAGGTCCACATGGGAACTGGTAAGCTTTGGTGATATGAGCAAGCATCCACCAAAACACACTTCCCAGGGCATCCATGGCACATACACCTCCAAGCAGCTTTCATGGCCATGGGTCAGCCCACACGTAATTCCCAGTGACATCACACCAGTGCCCCTGGGGCTTCCAGAGGCAATACTACAAATGGTGACAATGCATCACTGTCGCTGTCACAGATCCATTCAGTGGAGGGTAACTAAAAACCCCCAAAGCAACTGATTTGCTTAAATACTCCTAAACCACCACATCCACCCTGAGTGAATGAGCACCTTCAGACCAGGGGTGTAGCAATGCACACTCAGTGCAACACAAGGATGAGCTGCCATGTGAGGAACCAAAACCATTACTGCCTTTTTTATGCACTCTGTTGAACTGGGAGTCGTTGAGACAACCACAAAAATAGACTAATGGACAAAAAGGGAGGAAATTACATGAAGGGACAAGCTGCACCAATGCTAATGAGTGGACAAGAAGAGGTAAACAACACCAAGAATAACTTTTTGGGGGTATCTAAGGACACCAGAACCTCAGACTGCATTATTAAAACTTCACTGTGGTGAAGACCTCCGTAATGATTCTGAGCAGAAGGATTTCTGGGCCAGCCTAAGATGATTAATTGCTTGTGACACCTCCAGAAACTTGAGACACTCCATGCAGCACAAAAGGAAATTCAGATTCCCTGCAGCACCATGGGCATATGCTGTACATCCTGGCAGTACAGCTGCTCAGGGAGCTCACTTTATTTGTGTAGCCCCCGGGGTGCTGGGAAAGATGGCAGGCAAGGGGTTAAGTAGTGCGTGACTCCAAAGACCTTCCCTTTCTGTACGGAGCAATTGGTCGACCTTAAGTAGCTCCTATACTTGTGGTCCCACCTGTACCCTTTCCGTCGTTTGTGGTATAATGACTCTAAAAGTCCCATGTAACTTGTGTCCAGACGTTTTCTCCAGTCACGACTACCCGGTTTACTATCACCCTCCCCTTTTGTCGGGACTCTTGTTGGGGGTAATGGGGAGTGAGTAGGAGAGCAGAGTGGGTATCTGACTGGAATAACTTTCCTCTCTGCCATCTCTCCACACGCAGCTGTGACTCCTGTCCCAGCCCCATCTGTCCCACCAGACAGGAGGACAATGAACATCTAGTAAATGCTTTGAAAGCCTGACCCATCACTCACATGTGTTCAGCTTCTCCCAGGAGGATGACCCACCATTTCCAACCCACCACATTCATAAAGCCAACATGGTACAAACTATCAAACTGCACGATTCTGTGGCTACTAATCCAAGTATCCTGTAAATTGTAGAGGTGAGAAAGTATCGAGCACAGGCATTTCACTTCTCAAGGCTCATCTGCCTCAAGCCTGCAGCCCAGCAGATGGTACATGGCAACTGCAATGCTGACTCTTTTAAATACAATGCCATGTGCTTCCCCCTACTATCAACTGTCCAAGCAACTCAGAGTCCATGACTGCTCTGTTACCCTTGGTTATAGAATCTAAACTTAAACTGAGGCATAAAGAACAGATTCACATGGAAAATTACCTCAGCATCTTTTTATCCAAAAGGTCACTGATTAAGAAATTCATTCATGAAACAGGACAAATTTATTTCAACTCCTTTATCTGTCTCAGGGAATTTGAATAATGTTATTCTGGAAATAATATTTCACTTTAATGTAAAATATTAGGTAAGCATGGAAGTAAGAGAGAAGAGCTATGCATAATCTCCTACAAGAGAGATTCACATTAGGCTAAAAGGAAAGCATTTATTCTCTGCTCTCTGGTTCTATAAGTGTTTTAATACTTCATATGACGTGGTGAGTACAACACAAAAGACGGAAATTAGACAGCTTCAAACCTCTGTAAGCTTAAAATACTTTTTTTTGTGGGGTAAGAAATAAAGATTTGACCCTGTCCCCAGTGAATCCAGCTCTTCTATACTCCAGGTGACTGATTTTGCTCCACTGATAGATCTAAAGGCAAATCACCAACTCCTGCCCCACAAATTTTGACTGTGTTTTGTCTCCCAGACAAACTATTCAGCACTTTGGGACAAATCCAGAAATAGTTACAGAATGACTAAAAGTCTTTTATTTTGCTCAGAGGATTGCACTTTTTCTTTTTTCTTCCAAGTCTTCTTAGAAATGTTCATCCTTGAGAACAAAGATTCTCAAGAAGGTACATGAAGGTATTGCACGTGCAATGGAGGCAGTGAGACTACTTGTGTTACATCTTCTTACCTAGGGCAAGGTTGGGATGGGCTTGTCTGCTCAGCTCTGCTCCTTTGTATTGCAGACTTCATCTGGAAGATTTACAGCAGCACTAGCAATGCTAAGGGAGAACTGCTCATCCATTTGCAACTCAAGTTCTGTTGTGATTTACATTTGAAGCAGGTATTTTAATCCCTCATATGCGTATCAGGTATATATATATGTGTATCAGATTTACCACTGTTGCTCTTTCCTCTAGTAAAAAAAAAAAAAAAAAAAATCCTTTGGGAAAATCATACTCATAAATCCATTCATTTATAACATTTTTAGAATCAGTTTTGCAGGCTATCTCCCAGGACACAGCACTCTAAATCTGAAAATATGCTGTCCTTTAATCACCAAGGCTGAGGGACTGTATGGTTATAGGGGAAAACACATGGCCAAAACTGACCTCACCCCATCGTTTTGCTCCTCAACACCTTCAGCAGAGTACGATCAACATTCCAGCTGAAGCACCTGGCGATGGGAATCGCGGGCTTGGGACCTGACTCCTGCTTTATTTCTAAATATTAGCTGCAAAATTACATCCCAGATCAATACTGAGTATTTCCCTTTGAATCTTCAGGGGACCAGGACCAGGAATTGCCCTGCAGTGCTAGAATTGCCTTCCCAAGTGAAGCCACCTCTCACCTGCCAGCCTGACCTCTGACATTACCAGTACCACCAGATGCAGCTTTCCTCAGCCAGGGAAAGAGCCCCATGGTGATCCCAAAGAGTGCTAAAAAGGCCCCTGGTGCCAGGGATCAGTCCCACCATGCAGTTGTTTGTCGCAGTACCTGAACCCTTATAGCCCAACTCAAACATCCTCAGTCATCTTGTGGTCAGATCTCTCTTTAACACTCAGGAAAAGCTGTGGGTAGTCAGAGCTTTTGGTATTTATTTGCATTGTCAGCATTTGGTGAACCCTTAATATATATATGTTATATATATAACCCTTAAAATGCCTAAATGAGAGAGGAGCAAACCAAAAGCCATGCACGCAACAGCAGTGTCACACAGGTGTGAAAAACAGCAAGTTTTTCTGGAGTGATGTGAACTGGTGCTTGTGAGTGAGCAGGGTGGTGATATCACATGGAATGCTCCACGGGACAACTGAGAAAGCACTAAAACATTGCACCTTTTCTTGAATATGAGGGCGTTTTTTTGTTCATTTAGCATTTGTTTCTGGCCCAGGTATGATTTGAGTCTTGGGGATAAGTAGGCTTTGGGGTGGCCCCTTGAGAACCACCACACTGCTCAGCTGCTCCTGCCCCACGTGAACCACAGAAGTGGACTGATGGGCTGCAGCCAAAGGAAAAAAGTGCCTTCAGTTTCCAGCTTGCAGAAAACATCAGGCTTTATTGCTTGCTACTATTCCCAGGCTTTATTGCTTGCTACTATTCCCAAGCTTCTCCCTCAAGCAACACTTGTGCTGAAACTGAGGATCCAAATTCAAACCCACTGAAGCAAACCAGAGTTTATTTAGCATTTATTACCCATTTTGTTGTCATATGTGACTTCTTCCGTCTTGATTTTTCCTCTGGTAAAGACAGACATTTTATTTTTTTAATTTTTTTTTAATAAAATATATAAAACATTGTGCATTGCTATCCATAGGAAAACTGTAGTTCAACAACAACAACAACAACAAAAAGAATAAGGCACATTGCTGTGCAGCATCTTCAAATATATATATATTTAAAACAAAACAAAAAGAAAACCTTTTTCAACCTCTTTGAGGTTGTTAACTTCTCACCAGTCACTGACACATCTCTTATATTACCATAATTTCACTGTTGGAGGTGGGTTGGGTTGTGTTTGGCAGGGACCAGCAGGGAGAACAGACTCAAAAAAATAATAGGATTTTATCCCTGAGGTGTCAGTAAAAAACCTAAATGTTCCCATTGAAAAGGAAGATGAAAAGACAGCCATAAATAACTGAATACACTATGGCGAACATCCAAGCACCGAGATGATTTCACGATGGAAGAATCCCCCTCCCCCCCATCCCCCAGTTCTTAACAAGTCAAAATTGCTGTTGGGTTTTAATCAGGTTAATCTCATGGCTTCTGAAGTCACAAGACAATCCGTCAGGATGCACTTCCCCCTCCCTCCTCGAATCATCTTTCCAGATTTGTCATTTTGTTCACAATGCTCCCACAGTCCTCAGGAAAGGGAAACCAAAAAAATCCTTAATGAAAACCAACTCCTGGGAGACTTCTCTCCTCAGCCAAGAGAGGAGCGCTCGTATTGCAGCGTGCCAAACACCATATCCCGTGTGGGAGGACTGTAATTGTCACCTTCCTGCCTGCTACTAAGAAATGAAGTTGGCAACCACCTCTATTGAAACCAGAAAGTGTCCGTGAAAAGGGGTGATAGCAACATGTAACGGAGAAGGAGATGGGGAAAGCTTTATTGCTGTCCATCCACACCGCTCCAGGTGGCACACCCGATAGGAAAAAGGGAGACACCCACATAATATTCCTTCCCCCCCTCTCCTCTATCACGTGTGGAGCAGCCCCAGGGTGCAGGGCAGGACGGCTGGACTCCCAATCACTTCAGTAGTAGCGGTTGAGGCTCCTGGTCCCTGGGATGTCAGGCTGGCCGTTCATCCAGATCTCCCGGATGATGCGCTCCCGCTCCTCCAGCCTCTGCGCCCGCTCCAGCTCCTCCGCCGAAGTGAAGACGTTCATATTCAAAGTCCTCTCGAACCTGCGGTGCCTGCGGGCGGACAGGTCCGAGGTGGTGTCCGAATCGTCGTCGCTGTCACTGCTGTCGCTGTCGCTCTCCCGCTCCCGAGGAGGCTTTTTGGAGGAGGAGCTTTTGCAGTCCGTCCGGCAGGACACCCTGAGCACCAGGGCCAGCAGGGTCAGGACAAGTCCAATGCACACTCCGGAGACAAAATACAGAGCAGCCCGCTCAGGGTTTTCTGGCAGGAGAAAGGAAATGGTGGTCAAGAACAACTCTCAAAAGAACAGAACACACACAGCCTCTCCCTCTCCAAGCACACACCACGCACGGTCTCTGGAGGGGCAGAGTTTCCAGTGACTGCTTTTACGTCCATGCCTCCCTTTGCCTCCTCCCCCCGAGGGAATTAGGAAGGAGAATTTAAAAGGTGGATTTGCTGCCAAGGCATTTGCCCACATGCAGAATGTGGGTTTTGCTGTAGCCATGTCTTGGAGTTGTCTGGAAGGCAAAAGAGCACCCCACGGAATTAAAAGCTATTTTTCATGGGGTTTTTGCCAGCATGCTACACACCCAGCAGCAGGTAAGTGCATCTTGCTGTCACGTCCACTATCTTCATAACAGGCATAAAGATGATTACAAAACTTTATATGCTCTCTGTGCTGTGGCCCAGCTGAAGTGGGAGGCTTGGCAGCACGGAAAAAATGCATATTATTTATTCATAGGTTTCATTTGCTTATCTAAGGCAAATGTGCTGGCTTCCTGCCCAGACCACCAAAATGTATACCTGTGCTCCACAGGCATAGCTGGAGTCAGTGCACTAACAGGATGAATGCTGCATAGCCACATTTCTGAGGTGATATAACAGGACTCCAAAGGATCCACAGTGCCTTTCAAACTAGGCCATCTTATTTATTTACCACATTCTTTTCTTTTTTTTTTTCCATGGGACTACTTGGAAGTGTAATTATAATAAATGTTGTAACTGCAATTCCCCTGGGCTGAATCACATTTTTTATAGGCACACTAAATGGGTAAAGGTGAACCCAGCAGAAGTGCCAAGGCCAGTTCTATCCTGCAGTGTCTGTTGGGTGTCCTGCATTGAAGGATGGAATCAGTTCCTCAGATGAGTCTTATTCCCTTGAACTGAGTGATGGATCTGTAACAGCTCCCACCAGCTGAGAGCCTGACATTTGGCCTTGAAAGATCTCTTTGGCTAAAAGACTCTACTTTTACTTCCCCCCACTGTGTTTTTAAAAGCTGCCCTTTCCAGCTGGTCTCCTTAGAGCAAAGTTTGCAGAAGGTGAACTGGAAACTATTTGAAGATGTTCAAAAATCAACAGGACAAACCCCTGCTCTAATTTCAAAGCTGGCTCTAAATCTGAAGTTAGTCGTGTTCTGAGCAGGAGGTTGGACTGGAAGACTCACAGAGGCCTCTTCCAACCTAAATTATTCTCTAATTTTGCGGTCAGAACCCAAACACTGTTTCGTGCACTGTTCAAGGCAGTGTGTAGTTCGGTGCCTGGATGTGCTCATAGAACAGTTACAGAGACAAAACACCTTTGTGCTCTTCACTTCTCTCTCAAATGAATCTCAAAGGTGACTGACAAGCCAAGGTGGAGGAAGATGTCAAGATAGTCTGAAAACTGGTTAATAAAACATTAAACTGATGGTTGACATGGATGACATGGGGAAAAAATCAGGCTGAGAGGGAGCAAAAAAAGGAGGAAAGTGCAGCAGACAACTTCAGTAAGCCCAAAAGAGAAAGAGGTGGACCAGCTTCCTGCAAACTCTGCTGTGACACAACAAACAGGGCACTAAACTGAATGTGCCAGTGGGCTCATGAAGCGCAGGTTGAAACTAGATGATCTTTAAGGTTCATTCCAACCAAACCATTCTATAAAATGCAGCGGTAGTTAGTTGGAAATCCAGGTGAGACCAAAGCCAAAGGCTTTAAACTGAGATATTTTGACAAAATTGAAACAGCCAAAATCCAAAGGTAAAACAGACGATACCAGAGCAGGCATGAAGGACGTGCCAATGACCCCTGCAGCAGCCTGGCAAGTGAAATCCTTGCTCCAATGAAGCTCATGGCTACTGTGAACTCAGGGGACAGGACTCAAATTAGAACTTCAGCCTCATTTGTGCAGTAGCAAAACTGCTGCTGCTGCTGCCCATCTGGTCTTGTGTGAACAGTGAAGAAGTGGCTTAAATTTCAGAGATTTGGAAACTCCAGGGAAAGGAGAATCATGCCTGAAGAGACTTTTACCTCCATGTGCAATGTAACTGAGGACACTAATCACCAAGGTCCTTTTGCAAGTAGCCCTAAGGAGGGCTCTGGGGACACCTGGAGCGTGGGAGTGTGAGAAGAGCCATCAAGCAGGATTGATGTGTTCATATTGGAAGGCAATGGGTCCAGTCTGTCCCAGCTCTGCCTGGCTGACAGGACACCAGGCGCACTTTCCTGAGCACCACATTCTGCACACACATGGGCTTGATTTGGTTGCATTAGTTCCACTGCTTGTTCCTTCAAAGCAGCTCATAAAAAAGGCATGGATGGGAGCCTGAGACACAGACACATGCAGTTTCTGTGCCCCCATTTTTTTGCCCGTGTCCTGCTTTTCCTTTCTCCTCCCCTCTCTCTTTTTCCATGCTACTGTATGCAGCTTATGAGGAAAATGCACTTTGATTGCTACTTAAGTAACCATCTTTCATCCCCCGCTCGTGCTTGTACGTACAGCCCTTCATGCCGTGCGATGGCTGTAATTGAATCTTTGGGCTCCAGTGGCATTTATGAGCTCCTACAGCTACTCTGTCAATATCTGAGACACTGTCTGGACTTCCTCACAGAGCTATAACCTTACGTTCAACCGCAGTCTTGGCATTCATCATACGTACACTCCACTTGCACAGCAGCAGCATCTCTTTTTTTTTTTTTTTTTTTTTCACAGCAGAAAGAGCAACTTAAGCTAAAAACCATGAGCTCACTCTGCTTTTTCTCAGTTGAAGTCGCCAAGTCAGCAATAGCCTAGATTTAGAGGTTTGACGGTCCATAAGTGATTTTGAGAGCCTCCCCAATGGCATGTTCTACTTGCAAAGACCAAAGAGGGGCACCCTCTTCAGCAAATGGATGCTAAGCGTCTCCCAAAAGCTCAAAAGTGGATCAGGTGCCTCATATCAACACTGAAACTCCTCAAAACACTCATTATACTTGAAAAAAAAGTTCTTTAAAACTGTGTGGACATCAGTAGCAGGAATTAATATAATTCTGATATGCATTCATGTGAATGTGTGTGTGTGTGTACACTCATTAACACATAGATTTTAACCAGTGTAGCTTTTTCTTCCACTGCTGTCGGTGACAGCTCAGAGCTTTTAGCAGGTCTCAGTTGCCATCAGTTTCTTTAGCTGGGGTTACCTTTCCCCTTCCCTGTCTTTCTCTTTCTTGGTTGAAAGCACTGATGAAAATGTCACTGATTCAGGCCTGAATTTAATCCATGCAGACAGATATATAGTCTACATAACCCTCTATACAAAAGCCACCATTTTCTAGAGACTCAAACTGGCCAAAAAATTAGAAACACATTTTATTTTATTTTTCCAACCAAACCAGAAGCAATTACGGAGCCTATTTCCTGAGGGCTAACAATCTGCTGGGAGCATCAGCCCAGACTCTCATTAATTCCCCAGGAAATGCCACAGGCCAAGGTTGTTATTGCTATTATAATAAATTGTTTCAATAAATAAAAAACAATCTAGGCATTAACGCTGCTGGCTTTCTGTGATGGCTTCATGCATTCTGAAACCTCAGTGGGGAGGAAAATTTCAGAGGGCCCCCAGGAAAAGGTGCAGCATCAAACATAGTCAGAAAAACAGAAGGAGCAGTATCTTCTAGGGAATTTACTGTTAGCCCCACAGGCTACCAAAATCCCCTTGTGGAACAGAAGAAACTCTCCAGGAGCCCCTTATTAATAAGACTCAGGTCAAGAAGTCTAAAAGTTGGAATGATATCCCCTGGGTTGTATTTTGGAAGCCCCTTGTTAATACCTTGGCAGCAAAGCTTTGCTTATGGAAGAAGAATAAAACAGGGATTTGTGGAGGTTTCCCGCCAACCACTTCATCCTAATTGCAATAATAAAACTGGAATAAGTCCCTTGCCCAAAAAGGAGAAACTGGAAGAGCTTTGATACAATTTGAATGTTTAATATTTATATAAGCACGAGGGACGGTTCTGCTCCTGCTGATAGACTGTGACTGCAAAGACAGTTCCAGCTGTCACTGAGACTGGTGAAGTCTTTCCAAACACTCAGGCAAGTTTTGGAACAGGTCCACAACAAATAACAGGTCTGAGGTTTGTAGGCAGAGATTGCATCTAGTTTAAAACCTAATTCTATAAAGAAAATCAGCTTTCCAAGTGTATGTCTGAGTCTTGTGTAAGACTGAACTCTAAATAATGTCTATCTGTTTGGTCAGCTTCTATATTCACTCCTTATTGATGTTGTTGACACTTTCTCCCTGTTTCTGAAGAAATAGATTCTGGAAGCTGTGCTAAGACTAACACCTAACTGGCTTCGATACTTAACCTTGATGACAGCTGCAAATCAAGATTCCTGCAAGGAGGTTTTGCTTCCTGCTGTGCTGTGATTTTTACTACTCAGTTGTCCCTATGAACATTCCCAACATTTATATGGGAACATCAGTCAAAAAGATGGTGGAAATGAGCAGGGAGGCTTTCACCAGTACTGGCACTTCTCCCCTCTGTGCACCACAAGACTCTGCATGTATAAGTGACCAAGCCTGCAGACTCCTCATCTGCAGCTGCCCACCCAGAACTGCCATTTTGTGCTGAAAATGTGGACAGCACTGAGCACAGAAGTGATCCCACTATTTGTGGATGCTCTCCTCAGGCCAAGAGACACCCCAAAGCCAGGAGGCAGGAAAAGTAGCAGAGTAGATCATCCTTTCAAGCATTCACTTCACCTATGAAATAGCCCAAGCCCATAGCCTCTTTTTCCTGCAGTGGGTCTGAGGGTATACACGACCCTCTGTAATAAGAGAAAAAACATTTTTCTATGTTGCCCCTGCCCATTTACAATTTTCTTCTGCAAGCTCCTGTTTTGAGCCAACTCACCAGCCTAGGGAAGCCCTGAATGCAGCACTTTCAGTGTGCAGAGAGTACCAGAGGGATGTTTTCAGTGTCATGAAACAGAGCAGTTCTTGAACTACTGTTTCTCTTTGGCATCAAGGCCATGGTCTTGAGTGGGAGGAGTGGGAGGATGTGTGACCCAGAACCAGCCCTCCCTGGCTGCTGAAATCCTGCCTCTCCTGAGCAGTCACTATAATGGATCCTCTAGGGACATCAACAGCCATTGTGGTTTGAGCTGCCTTCAGGGCCCCAAACTCAGGAAAGCAAAAGAAAATCCAACTGTTCTGCTGCTCAAAATCTGCAATAGGAAGAGGGGTGGTTTTGCAGTGCTCTAGTTTTATGCAAATGATATTTATGCCCTGTGACACAGTTAGTCTTTGAAGTCATAAGTTAAACCTCTCCATGTTCACAACAAAATAAATCATGACACATCCATCATTTCTGCTAAAAGCAGAGGCTAATTTACATGTAGGAGAAAAAGATGGTTTAGGACATCTGCTGTTTCAATCCATGAGGAGGTCCATCAATTATTTTTGTAATAAATAACAAACTGAACATATATATCACTGAGTCTAAAACCCATCTAACCCATTAAGAACACTGAAACTAGATGATCTTTAAGGTCCCTTCCAACCCCAAACATTCTATGATTCTATGATACACTGGAAAACACGAGCAACTAGGTCCTAAACTCAGCACTGGAAATGAAAATCATGAAGTCTGACTTTATCTTTGTGACATCCAGTGAATGTGAACTCAGCACAAGGACACCACATCATGGCAAATCCCCCAGCAACAAGACAGTTAAAGTTGCTTGTGCTACAGTAAAACCTAGAGGCTCCTGCCAAGACTGACACCTCGGGAATGGGATGAATTGAGGCCTTGTGCCCTAAAAAAACCAACACAGAGTTAAAGAGTTCTGCTGTGGTCAATGGAAGCAAAGTCCACGGGGCATTGTCAGCAGCCCTGAATCATAGTCCCAACTGACCCTGCCCATAAATCCCACAACCTTCTGCTGCCCATTACTGGTCAGATGGGGAACATGATACTAATAGCATTTTGTTTTATAGTAAGGTTGGGAATGCAGGCATTTTCATGTCAAGAAATGGCAGCTGCAGGTAAGGGAGGGAGAAGTGCACAAGACAGAAGACTTCTTCAAAGCTTGTTTTTTATAATTTTTCCTTAGAGAAACCCATGCAAGAAAAAAATACACCCTATTCAGCTATCTTCCATGAACACTACTAATTCCACTTAATCTGCCCTATTCTTATAGGTGTCATGAAAAGATGGATCCTGATGCCACCACTAGATATGTAGAAGAGCAGAACTTCATATAGCCATTCATGGCCATTTTAGAATGACACTTCACTAAGTAATGTGCAGAAACACTCTTACTAATCTACTCAGTGAATAGAATCTACTCCAAAATGCAAAGCCAAGGTTAGCTATTTCAAATCCAAACACTTGTCTCTAGCAGCATGGTGGCATCTCAGCAAGAGCAAGAGCACGGCACCAAGAATGCACTGGTATTTAATGAATTAGCAGGGCTGAATATACACAGACATCCAAGAAAAAATTGACCACTGCCTTGAGAGGCTATTTACACAGCCACCAGGGCCTTCCTTTTGGGAAAGCAGCAGAGATTGTTCTGAAATATACTGAATTAGTACATCTAATGCTCCTCCATCCTCCATTTTTTGGGTTAGTTCCTTCAACTCTGTAGGCAATTCCTGCTGCTGACAAGGTACCTCCATGCTGTGGGAAATATTTGCACTCTATCACCTGCCTCTGCTGTCCTTTCACTGGTACTGACCCCAAGCACTCAGTAGGGCACACAACCTTTATTTCACAGAATCATAGAGTGGTTTGGGTTGGAAGGAATCTTGAAGCTCATCTTGTTCCAACCTCCCTGCCATGGGCAGGGACATCTTCTACTAGACCAGATCACTCAGGGTCCCATCCAACCTGGCCTTAAACACTTCCAGGGATGGGGCAGCCATGACCTCTCTGGGCAACCTGTGGCAGTTCCTCACCATCCTCACAGTAAACAATTTCTTCCTAATATTTAATATAAACCCACTCTCTTTCAGTGTAAAGTCATTCCCCCTGGTTTTATCACTTTTCTTTCACGTTTTAAAGTGAATCTTTTTAGAAGGCTGCTCCTCTGTTACTTGAAAGATATATGTGGGTGAAAGATAAGCTGTGATCCAAGGAAATCTTACTCTAAACTAAATTTAAATATTCAATTAAGTAGACTCTCAAGTTACTTCATCTTCACACTTCTACTGAAGATAAGCCAAATTCTCTTAAGCAGTGTAATGTTCTGAGTGCCGCTTATTTTCCAAATTATGGGACAACAAGCTTGCCTCCCTAATGAGCCAGGCTTTGATCTCCAGGAAAATGAAGCATTAGGAATAATACCACATGTAAGATTACACTGTATTTAACTGTAGATGAGAGTAAATCCAGTGGAAAGCAGAGCACAACAAACTCTGGTATATGTACTGTCTGCTAGAGCTGCCCCGGTCAGGTCTTTCCAGGGAGAGTTTACTGAGAAACGAATGAAATACATAAACAGTTCAAAGAGGCAGATTTAGCCTTAGGTGACTGCAAAATGAGGGTCTACAAAAAGCTTGCAAGAGACCAGAGAGATGGCAGCCACAAGACCTACCTGTGATGAAGGCATAGGCTGCCAGGATGTTGCTGAGCAGGGCCATCTCCGTGCTGACGCCCACAGGCTCCATGCTGCTGGTGAGCACCGGCAGTTGTGTCTCATCCACAGGACGCAGGAGGGGGGTGTTGTCTAGAGGGTAGAAAGTGGCTGATCTCCCTTTCTTCTTCTCTGCTTTGAAACAGAAATGGAATGAGGAACGATGAAACGATGAACGTGGCCCAGCCCTACCCTGCCCTATCCCCACCAGGTCAGTATCTGTGCTCAGAAATCTGGAGCTGCTCAACAGCAAACCACACAGATTTGCCCTAAACCTTCTCAAGCAGCTTCAGCTGAACACATATCCTGCCTGCATCCAGGCATCATCTTCTCTCCCCCATCTCCTGCTCTTTCATGTCACCACTTAGACACTCCCATCTACTCTACAGCAAATACACAATCAGGATTCTTTTCTCTTATGTAAATCAAAGGAGCCTTTATCAACAGTGGGTTCAGCTAAGCTCCTAAGGAGGACTGGGAAACACAGGCAGAGCCAGCAACCCTCTGCCAGTGTCACGCTGTAGTGACCCATCCACACCTGGCAAACAGACGTGCTTTCCCTCCAGCCTTTTTGGGGAAGGGCAGACCTTGGTTTATGACTTCCTTCAGAATCCTGCTTGTATTGTGTTTCACCCAGACACCATTTCCCCTTTGGAGAGGTGAGTGAACATGGGTTAATGATTTGATTTTATTTGTTGAAGACTGAAGCTAAGGAGGCAGCTCATTCCAGGAGGCTCAAAGAGACCCTTTCAGATCTTATCAGCTCGCTGTTGAGGGCTCCCCACACCTTGATCTGCAGGCAGACACCTCCTGCAGACAAAACACTAATTGTTTTCAACACAGGAAAAAGTCAGTGCAAAGGATGCAGCTCTGTCACCCATGTGAGTGTTTAACTACTGTTATTACAGATTTTCAGGCTCCCTTCCCTGGGTGTCTAGTTCTGAACAAAAGCAAGCATCGCTCTGTAAAATGAGACTTGCACCGGGCTCCCACTTATCTGCAGGTATTAAACTGAGGGAACTGCCAGTTCCATCTCCAATTATGCCACCAGCACGATGCATGCAAAGACATTCTGTCAGCAGTCATGATGCGAGATGGTCTCTGTGCATTTGCTGCCTGATCTGTCCCCTCTCCCTGCAAACCCAACAGCGTGAGACGTCACCTTCAGCTTCCTGCTGTGGGTGCCAGGAAGCAGCAACAGAAAGTGAGGGGCGTCAAAGAGAACAGGTAATACTGGATGGAGAGGGACTGAGTGCATGAACGTGCATGCTGTGATGCCAACTCCTTATCTGCCTCAGAGGAAAAGCAGTGGGGATGGTTGTCCAGGTGTCACTGCAAGGGATCAGCCCCAAGGAATGCGGGTGCAGCTGCATCTCTGCCACTGAATAGCTGCATGGCCTCGGGAAAGCTACATGTTAAAGGCCACCAAGGTGTTAATGACTGGCCTTCAAGCAAAGTTTTTAAACATGGGTGGCTCATATCCCAACGGGTAAAATATTCCAAGAACCTCTTGCTTTAGGAGAGGAGAGATCACTGCGGATCACTTGTGCAAATGGAGTCAGTGGGACACAGAAGATCAAGGGCAAAGTTTTAAAAAATCTTTTAATTCAGATGTAGGCACTAACATGCATTCTAATCTTTCCTTTATTCTCCCTGTCTGGTAAATCTGTCTGTACTAGTGGTTGAACTTTTCCCTACCACTGTTCCAAAGAAATCCACAGAAGCAGGGTAAATATTGCAATTCTAAAAACTGAAACTAAAACCTGGATACTTCAGAGCATTTCAAGTAGCACCATGCATCTAAAAGTAGGCAATGAAATCCTGCTATTAGGTGAGGGATAGCAGAAAGCCATTCAACTCTCCCTGTAGCAGACACTTAAAGCTTGATGGACTTGCTCATACACAGACATCTAAGACATCCAAGGGTGAGGAGGACATCCGTGCAGAGATGACAGGTATGAGAAGGGACATAGGGGAAACTCACCCTTCTAGAAACCAAGTAAACATCCCAGGTCATCACAAATGACACATTTATATGGGGATAACTGATCTTGCCTGAGATGTTTCCTTACTGAGGTCTGGCTCTGAACTGGTTAATCCAAAATCCCTTCACAATAAATGAAGGGCACCTCCAGGTTATAATCTCTTATGTATTTCATAGTCATATGTCAGATGGACACCTCTGCTGGGTATGAAGCATCCCTTGTAAACCACAATGTGCAATAATAGTGTTTTTAAGAGACAGAGGGATAACTCCTCTCAAGTGAGATGTAGAAGAACCCTTTTTTTTTTTTTTTTTAACTTCTAACTTGTCTAAAGAAGAGATGCAAGCAAACCAGTTTTTAAATGAATACTCATCTGCACACACTAAACTCCAGCAAAGAACACCACAAAACCACAGAACTGGTTTTATCATTGGCAGGATTGTACAAGCATAGACATGGAGGACAGAAAATAACTGGACTTATGAAGGAGGTAAAAAAAAAAAAAAAACACAAAATTTCACAAGAGCCTTGTGTTGTGACACTATGTGGTTCCCTGGCCCAGCAATTCACTCCAGGACCATAATAGAAGACATCCCCTTTCCTCCTTGCTAGCTTGGGTAACTTGTCTATGCCTAATCAGCTCACTACTGTTGGTTTTCTCTTCACCATTCTTAGCTGTTCCCAGTCACTTGAATGGTTTCTCTGTGAATTTAAACCAAAGCTGAGTAAAACTATTTCAGCCAGCAGTAATTTGCCCAGCACCACAGTATAAATATAAGAGACGTTACTCATGATACCAGGCTGACTTTAGCAAATAGTTTTAATAAGAGAAACAAAATGGAAAATGTCCAAGTATTTTCTTTGTTATTTTTCAAACATTTTTTTTAGCTTCCAATTTCAAAATGACATCTTTGTTTGAAAAGTGGTGCGTATTTTGAAAATGAATGAATAAACAATGTGAAAACTAAATAAAAGGTGTCACTTCTGGAAGTGAAATGTTTAGATGAATGAAAACGAGTTCAGGACATCTTTTTTCTTGCTTAAAAGTATCTCCAGGATCACAATATTTATTTGGGGCTAACTCAGAATTCTTTTCCTTGGCGATATTTCAGTAAGGCTTCCAAAAGGACAAATCTGTCATTGCCAGTTCTTAACTGTTTGTGGATTGGCTATTCAAGCTGTGGATTGACTTTGCCAGGAGTGTAGACAGAGACAAGGTAGCTTTGCCCATACCCACCCTAGAGCTGAATCTCTGGGAGCACAGGTTGGGAGTGTCATAGACCATCCACTGGATGTTGGGAAACAAACAAAACCACTGAGTAACCCAGTACATGCTCACCTATGCTTTTCTCTTATTCATACACCACGTCTTCCTCCTACTCACCTACCCCTATAGATAGCTGAGACTTTGTTCATATCTCTTCACTTTGCATTTTATGAAAATAGCATCATATTTCAAAGCTCAGTTGAAAACTTCTCCATCCCCTGTGAGGCAGATCTACTGTCTCTGCCCTGTTTTGGTTTGTTTGTTTTTGGTGTTTTTTTTTTTTGCCACTGTATTAGACAGGTCTGCAAAGTATTTCTGTGATGAGTTTTGACATGCATGGTCATCACGACTGCTATTTCAGGAAACTCAGTGTTTCTTGAACAGTTCCACAGTTCACTTTAGCCTGTCGCTGATCACACCTCAAAGCTTCCCTTCCTGGCTGTGACATGGATGGGGTTTGGGCACAACAGAGAAATCCAGATAAGAGGAGATAGAAAGGAATAGTTATCACAACACAGTTAGGTTTGGGGCAACATCACAATAGTCACAGTTACCTGGGAGAGCTCGTCCTATATTGGAAGGAGAGACATCAGAAAGGAACACGCCGTCCCCTATAACATCGGGATCAAACACTCTTGGCTGCAGTGGAAAATGTGGCTTCTGATATCCTTGGTAATTGATTGGTCTTGGCTGAGTTTCATGCAGAAGCTTCTTGGGAACTGAAAGAGAGGAGTAAGAAGAGCACAGTTTGTTAGAGTGAGTTATTTCAGCAGGTCAGAACGAGAATTGTCACATTATGCTACGGGCTCAGCTGATACTTAACTACACTGTGTGCAGCCCAAACAGAAATTCATCTTCCACTATGATGAATTCTCTCCAAGTGCAGGCCAGAGACATTCAGTGAGAGAATGCTGGAAACTATAAAGTGATTAAGATATTGTTTATTTACAATTAAGCCTTGAGACTAGGCTAAGGATCAGATTCAGATGTTTTATTTAGACACACATCTTTGAAACAAATGCCTAGTAAGACAGACTTTGGCCTCAGCCCTGTGCTTCAGAGGACTTCAGGTAGACACCTCTATTCCTACCATGACAGTGGGCTGGACAGGATGCCCTATAGCAGTGGGGGCTATAGGCTGTGCCTGAAACACTGCCTCTCTCCAGCCATGAAGTTGCTAGCTCAAGACTGAATATCAAAAGTTTCTGTCCACTCCAGATTCACAAAATCAGACTCTAGAGGATGCTGTTCACATGAAAACATAAAGCTTAAATCATTATACTTCACCACGAAAGTAAAAAATCCCACCTGTAAGAAACGCTTCCCACCCTCTGAGATCCAAAATACACCGTTCCCCATTGGACTTTAGGGCTGTAAGTACACTGTGAAAGGCCCACTCCCACCATCCTGAGCAGGGTGAAGACTCAGCTAATCCCTACTGCTCTCTGTGTTTTGTCAGCCACAGCATTAGCAATATGCAGGCAAGATGATGAGTTAATATGTGACAGTTTTTTTGGACATCTATGGTCTCTTCTTTGGACCAAAACATGCCTCATTAAGAAGAGTATTTTCTCCACCTTGATGCTGCAAGGCCAGTTCTTCAGCTGTACATCCAGGTAAAGAAATCAAAGCTTGTGTATCTATCTCCAGGTACACCCACTGAAGGTGAACCCACACAGTAAGTTCACGAATTTCCCCCTTAGGGACAAAGCACAGAGTCATTTACAGAGTTGAACCAGTTCTCTGCCTCGGCCACAGCCAACACCTCAGGCTATTTCAGAGCAAAGTGCTTCTCCATACAAAGAGAAGAGACGTATACAGGCCATTCTATTCAGAAATCAGAGGAAGAGAGTGATGAAAGACAAAAATAAATTAAAACTTCCAGAAGAGAAAGATTTATTTTCCCCGTCAGTGACTATATACTAATATATACATAAAACCAGACAACCAAGACTTAAGTGTGTTAAAGACACAGACTGTTAAGAACCAGGGACGATTTCAGTAGACCAACATGAACCACAAGTGAAGGTTTCTGGGATGCTCATCTCCCCTTTCCAAGTCTAACGGCACTAACCTCTCTCATTCCAAGCACCAGGCTTGCCACCTCCAAGTGCCTCGGTTGCCCCATGGCTCCATTTGGGATCATACTATCTCTCATCTCCACTCTTCACAGGGGCATTAAGAAGTATAATTAAAAATGCAAAGCACTCGGAGCTGCTTGGCAGAAGCATGAATGATTCTATGAAGGAGGGCTTGGAAAGAGTGCAACTCCAGAGCAGAAAGGAAATTCCTGCCTGCCCCCTGCAGCTAATCAGCTGCCAGACTGGAACGGGAGGTTTAATCATGTCCATTAAATTTGCCTGCATCACCCACCACATTACTACTGGTGGGTGAAGTGATCCAACCACCTTGTTTACATTATGTTCGACTTACTGCCTTTGCTGAGGCAAAGAAAATTGTAACTAGATTTACAGACTGACCTCCTGTTTTAGGCTGCCAGGACATCAGCGCTGAAGTTCTTGCGTTATTAGTAGAGTCATGCTAGGTCAGGAAACAGACAAAAAACCCCACAGCTTCTGAATATCAAAGAGCTGGCACAGCGGTTTCCAGTGAAACCTGAATTGGCAAACCCTGGTAGGAACTAGACAGGAGCAAGGAGGATACCTGTGCCAGGGAAATATCAGAGAGTCTGGGGAGGAGGTGGGTAGAACAGAGGTTATCCTGCAATCCACAGTCTGGGAGAATTGTAGTCTGGGTGCCTAATTTGAGGCACCCAAAGGGAGCCAGAAGGCACAGACCTCAGCACCATCCAAAAGTAAAGTGCCCTATTGCTGTATCAGACTGAGGACTTGAAAGGCATTTAAAAGACACAAGACAGTTTTCCTTTACACAGATTTCATCCAAACTGCATCCCAGTACCCCACTGATAGACATCCAGTGAAGAAAATGAAGCAAAAGGGACACACAATTTTTTAGCAGGTTTTGACGAGTCTTTCATGTTTCAGACTTACTTTTTTTCATAAATATCTTTCACCTCCCAGCACTCATGACCATCTCCTGGGCACAACACAGGCTTGGTGGGTCTGAATCTTTCTTAGAAAATGTGACAGCACCAGACACTTAAACATTTGAGTCAAGTAGGGGAAAGCAACACCATCTTTTCTACATTTAACATCACCTAAGGGAATTGAGCTATGACCTTTCCACCTTGGCATCTGTGCCACCACCATTCAAATGCTACCCACAGGACGAGGGGATGAGTCAGGTAAAGCAAACATTGCTAAATCAGTTGGCAACTCATCAACAGCATCCCAAAGAAGAGTATAAATGGACAAGTATTAAGGAGGAAGAATTCATAGAGACTATTTATTGTCACAGAACCCTATTGGAGTAGGGCTGTGCTCTCAACTCTTTGGGCTAGTTGAGGAAGTAAGAAGACTATCAAGTAGTCATCTGGTGTCTTAAAACACAGGTGACTGTGAGGACAGATTCCCAAAAAGCAGGCATGTGCTTAACATCCATGATTAGCACACCCTTCGGGACTTTCAAAAATCCTAAGAGGTGCTTGTCTTCACTTCAGCAACTAGATCAGTTTAAAACCCTGGAAGCAACTTAGTGCAACACAGGATGTCTACAGCACATAACCTTGGACTTTTCCATTTCAAGGGATCATTTTTCTCTGTGGACTCCATAAACATCTTGAGGACATTTTGCCAGGAAAGGCCCATCTTTGCAAAGAGTAAACAGAGAGGTGGCATGCAGCACGTCTGTTCTTTTTCTGGTTTATATGATGCTCAGCCAGTGCACAGCTCTCTTTTGATTTAGAAAGACTGTGAAATGGAAAGCCTTTCTCAAGTGTAAAACACCTCACAATTTCCAGTTAGCTCCTGTGTAGCAGCCAACTCCACAAGAAAGATTAAACATCTGGTTCCTTTGAAATGCCCTCCTTAAATTCTCCAGAGAGGAGTGCATCTGACACAAAGCATGGCATGATTTGAAGCAAGATGTCAGGAAAAGTTATTTATTATTAAAACCACCAGAAAAAAAAAAAAAAAAAAAAAAAAAAAAAAAAAAAAAAAAAAAAAAAAAAAAAAAAAAAAAAAAAAAAAAAAAAAAAAAAAAAAAAAAAAAAAAAAAAAAAGCACCTGGAATTTTAGTCTTATCTCAGTATTAAGTGCAGAAATCCTGGCAGGAAAGAGTTGGCACTTGGCCTGCTCTATTCAATCAAGCAGAGAAGTTAAAGCAACTCAGTCAGCAAAACAAGTGATGTATGTGGACAAGAGGGGAAGAAAGAGGGATTCAATCAAAGTGTTAACACACGTCATAGTCAGGAGCCCTGCACCTGAAAATGCACATGAGAAATGAGCAGGGATGATATGGAAGGGAAGAGTTGTTCCAGGGACCTCTGGGGACTTTCAGTCTCTCAGAGAGTAGCAGGCAGCCTTGAGATGTGGGTATTTATCCAAAAAATAAAATTCTACAGTGACTCATGCTGGGCAGTTGAACAGCACAGGCAAAAATGTAATTTTCCAGTCTCAAGCCCTGCTCTACCACCCACCCTGGGGTCCAACTGGGGCATCACCACATGGACTTCACGTCAGCTGGGACTTGATCTGGAGAGCAAAGTGTCACCATCACTGTGACACTCCATGAAGGCACCTGCAGAAGTTGGTTCTAGGCTATAAATCTGCAAGGCAGCTTTTGGAACAGCAGGTTCATTCCTCTGACATTACAGGTTTTTCAAGTCCTTATATAATCCCTCTGTGTCTGCTTTAAAAGCAATCCTAGCTACCAGCTCCCACTGCTCATCTGTCTGAATCAACATCATGTTAGCAATAATTTATACCAGCTCCCAAACCAAGACCTGCAATACCCATTTGCAATGAATTAATGGTACCAATCTCACAACAAAACCTCTCCTCCACTGCCTGGCACCTTCTCCCCTCTCCCTCCTGCGGCAGGAACAAGGATAAAGGAAAATCAACTGTGCTCTCATGGGCAGAGCAGATCCATCAGAGTCAGTACAAGCAACCAGCAGGGCAGTGTGAAAAGGCACATGCTGGTGCTGCTGACAGTATCCTTATTTGTACTTGGTGGATACTCCTTCTCCTGGGATTTTCACACAAGCACTCTCTTGTGTGGCCAG